GAAGGAAGGAAGGAAGGAAGGAGCTAATTTTTTCTAAGAAATGTTTAGTGCATTATTTTGCAATCAGCTATCAGAGGAATTGTGCAAAGATCATGTTTTCATTCTGCAAATGAAACATACTATATTTATGGGAAATTATGAGAATGACTGAAAAACAATCTGCTTAATAAACTTGCAGAATTGAACATAGTTGCAACTTTTAAAGTCAGAAAAAAAATCTTCTGTTTAGAATGTAGACCGATTTCACCTACCCTACCTTATGTTTAGCTTCATTTTGTAATTTTTATTTTTTTTAAATGATATCTATTTTAGCAAATGCTGTTGCCAAATTAAGCCTGTTTAATTTCAGAAGGTTGGGTGCAGAATCTAGGGAAGAGTTCCACCTTGATTTAAGGGGTGCTCAAGAGATAGACACGTGCTTCAGGATTTGGCCAATCCTGATAGGAATCCATAACTATGATTGTGAGATTAAGGACTTCTTTCCAGGATATGAACTCTATAATTAGGGTGGTGATACCACAAAACGTTCCATGTATGCAGGATGTGGTCAAAAAAATTAGGATGGCAGCCATGATAGTGCCGTCAAAGGTGCTCTACCTGGTTTTTATAAGGTTGTGTGGGTGATGCACATAAAAATTGGGCAGAGCATTGTTGCAGCTGCCATCTTGATTCTTTTTTACCTTACCCTGACCATTCGCCCCATTATCCAAAATATGGAATTTGCAGCAGCTTTAATATTATACACTAGCTGATAACCCGGTGCTGCCTGGGTATTTATTTATCCCAATCCTCCTTCCATGAATGTTGCCACAATTTCTAATGTTTGATTTTTTTCCCCTTATTAGAGGGAGCCCCCTTGTGGAGTGGCATTTCTCAGGACTAAGTTTAAAATATTTTTGTGGCAAATATTTTGAGAATTATTCCTATACCTATTCACTTCCAGGACAACATTTTAGAAACACCATGAAATGGCCAGAGGTTTTTCCTGCCAACCGCCAGCCAGAAAAGCATCAGGGAAACCAGAACATCTATGAAAAGCATAATTGTCCATTTGTAAAACAAAAGAGGAATTAACCTTTCCATGTTTAGCAGATCTCTCTCTCTCTCTCTCTCTCTCTCTCTCTCTCTCTCTCTCTCTAGGGTCCCTTCCAACTCTGTCATTCTGTCTGTTGCAAAGGAGCAAGCATTGAGGCGCTATAGAGGAGAAATGGATGCTTTTCATTTTTATTTATTTTACAGTGCTGATCAGCCAGTCCAATCGAAATGACCCCCTGCAGCATATACAATTCCCATTTTTGTACATTCCCATCCGAAATAAGTAAGAACAATCCAACAAATAGATAGGAAAAACAACAAAAAACAAGCATAAAACAGAAATGGCCCCAAATTAAAACTCCTTTCCTTACCCAAGGGAGCTCTCACAACATTCTAATCCCCACAGTCTCATTAACAGATAAGAAAAGCTGGAAGGTAAACTTTGCACCCTTGGTGAGCATGCCCTATGATTTGTTCAATATACATCAGAGGTGGTATTCTACCAGTTTGGACCAATTCAACCAAACCAGCAGTGGAAATCGCGGGTGGCCACACCCAGCCATCCTGGCTCTACGGCATCCCATTTAGGCCCTTTTTAGCAAAAAAAGGCACATGCGAGCTCACATTTGCGAACTGATAGGGAAGGTAAGTAAATACCATCACACACACACACACACACACACACACACACACACGCACGCACACCATAAACAGTCATGAACATCCTGCTGTCCCAAGTAAAAAGGGAGAGAGAAGGAGATTCTTTGAATGAATGAAAAACGAAATGGAGTTCTGCAGCAGATCATCCCTTCAGAAATGCTGAAGCTGGCCAGAGGTGATGGGCACATGCGCCTTCCAACCATTTTCACGAGTCCATCACGTTTTTTTTCCCTACAACTTCTCTTCCTTCTTGTCAACAATGCTGTAGTAATACGTGCGGATCAGTGTCTCCACAGCAGCAAAGTTTGGGCGGTTTTCCACTCTGGGGACAAGAAAGTAGACATGTCAGAAATAAGGGAGAAATACATTGCAAAGTTCCAGAGGTGGGTTTCTCCCAGTTCAGACCAGTTCGTGGTAATTGGTAGTGATGGCCGAACTGGTAGTGATGGCTGGCTGGCCACGCCCCCAAATTGGCTCGCTCTGATGCTCTCCCTGCCTCGTCTTTGCCACGTGCATCCACACAACTGCCTCCTAGTGCCTACACACAGGTAAGCAGCACGGGCTGCTCAGGGAGGCTCGAGACTTTGCAACCACTGCCTCCTAAGTGGGATCGAGCCTCCCTGCCTCCTCGATGCATGGAGGCAGGAGGCAGGAGGCAGGAGGCAGCAGTTCGTTTGCTGCCTGCAAGCTCCGGGGAAGGGGGGGGCGAGCAGCTAAGCGAGCACACCAGGACCTGCTGATTGCCTCTAATCTGCAGTTTACTCCTGAGCACGTTTACTCGTGAGCAAGGTTTGCTGGTTTGCTCACTTGGCTGCTGCCCCCACCCCGGAGCTCACAGGCAGCGAACAAAACCACACACTCTTCGGACCCTTCAGCTCTCCTACATTCAGCTCGGTGCGGCTCGGGTTGCTGTTTTCTTTGGCCTTAAAAAAAAAAAAGTTTTACAGCATATTTTATTTGCCATCTCCAATCTGAAACATACATTTGCCAAGCCACGCCCACAAAATAAGCCACGCCCACAGAACCGGTAGTAAAAAAATGTTGAAACCCACCTCTGGCAAAGTTCCCTCTGCAATGAAATCTTGTCTCTAGCATGGAGGTGTTTGCAGATATGGACAAAACGTCCAGAAGACAATTTTGCAACCATGCGTCCCCATGCTTGGGAACACTTCAAGGCTTTGCAAAATCATAGGGAGGATTGTGTTCCAAAAGACGAACACTGCAATAGAGAATCACGAGGGGCCCTTGGTGCTCCCTGAGCTTGGTTGTTTCCTTTTCACAGATGTTTCATTATCAAACTAGGTAACATCATCAGGTAATGAAACGCCTGCAAGGAAATCCCAAAGATGCTTTTTTTTTCATGAAGCAATTTCTTGATTTTTCTTTCTCTTCTTATAAGAGCCAAGGTGGCGCAGGGGTTAGGGTGCAGTACTGCAGGCCACTTGAGCTGACTGTTATCTAGTTTGATA